CTTCTGGGCTCAAACGATCCTCCTGCCTTGGCCTTCCAAAGTGCTGGGACTACAGGTGTGAACTACCATGCCCAGCCAAAGCACACATATCTTTCGTGAGCGCTTTGAAGTTGGGCTTCTCTGCCAGTGTAAGGTACCTCCTGGCAGCTCCATGCAAAGCTTTATTAACATCCAAGTAACTGTGTGGCATCCCTGTTTGATTTTGGGGAAAACTGGACTGACAGCCTCAGTTCTATTGCTTTGGGCAGATGTTTTGATCAGGAAGTAAATAGGAAGGAGGTGTTTTAGGTCCTTCTGAAATTTACTGTTATCCGGAATAACAGTGCACCTTAGCACTACCAGGCAAACTGGGAACTGGGAAATTTGGCTTTTTTTGTACAGGGTTTGGAGAAGCTTGTGTTCTGACCTGGGCTGGTGGGGAAGGTGGTAGCATTTCTGGAGGGATCAGATTCTGGTAACTTTTGCCTTCCAATGGACAAACCACTTTTCCTTCCATAAAACAGAGGCAGAAGCAAAATTATCTGCCTAAGCCATGTTGCCACATTTTCATAGCAAAGCCAAAACCTAAATTTTCAGGTGAAATTTTCCCATGTAAAAATGCTAGCCACTAATTCCAACATGTTTAAGATACTGTGCAGGCTGAGCAAAAACCAGTGGCTCCAGGTCAGCAGGTTGCAATCTTTGAGTGAAGAGGTATCAGGAGAAGCAAGCAGGCATTTTTCAGACGCTAAGACCACATGGAAAGACAAACACAGGTATGCTTACAGGAGGCATGGTACAGATCTTGTGAAAAGACTCTCTAGAAAATCCACTAGATGGTCCCTGGGCAAGATGGCCGAACAGGAACAGCTCCGGTGCAAAGCTCCCAGTGAGACTGACGCACAAGGCAGGTGATTTCTGCGTTTCCAATGGAGGTACCTGGTTCATCTCACTGGGACTTGTCGGACAGTAGGTGCAGTCCAAGGAGGGCGAGCCGAAGCAGGGTGGGGCAACACAAATGCAAAAGAATGGAAATCATAACAAGCCGTCTCTCAGACACAGCACAATCAAATTAGAACTCAGGATTAAGAAACTCACTCAAAACCACACAACTACATGGAAACTGAACCTGCTCCTCAATGACTACTGGATAAATAACTAAATGAAGGCAGAAATAAAGATGTGCTTTAAAATCATTGAGAACGAAGACACAACATACCAGAATCTCTGGGACACATTTAAAGTGGTGTGTAGATGGAAATTTATAACACTAAGTGCCCCAAAGAGAAAGCAGGCAAGATTGAAAATCGACACTCTAACGTCAAAATTAAAAGAATTAGAGAAGAACAAACAAATTCAAAAGCCTGCAGAAGACAAAAAAAGAAAAAATAACTAAGATCAGAGCAGAACTGAAGGAGATAGAGACTCAAAAAAATGAATACAGAGCTGGTTTTTTGAAAAGATCAACAAAATGGATCGACCGCTAGCCAGACTAATAAAGAAGAAAAGAGAGAAGAATCAAATAGGTATAATAAAAAGTAATAAAGGCGATATCCCCACCAATCCCATAGAAATCCAAACTATCATCAGAGAATACCATAAACATCTCTACACAAATAAAACAGAAAATCCAGAAGAAATGGATAAATTTCTGGACACTAACACCCTCCCAAGACTAAACCAGGAAGAAGCGAATCCCTGAATAGACCAATAACAAAGTCTGAAATTGAGGCAGCAATTCATGGCCTACAACCAGAAAAAGCCCAGGACCAGACGGTTTCACAGCTGAATTCTACCAGAAGTACAAAGAGAAGCAGGTACCATTCCTTCTGAAACCATTCCAAACAACAGAAAAAGAGGGAATCCTCCCTAGTTCATTTTATGAGGCCAACATCATCCTAATACCAAAACCTGGCACAGACACAACTAAAAAAGAAAATTTCAGGCCAATATCCCTGATGAACATCGATGCGAAAATCCTCACTAAAATACTGGCAAACCAAACCCAAAATCATGTCAAGAAGCTTACCCATCACAATCAAGTCGGCTTTATCCCTGGGATGCAAGGCTGGGTCAACATATGCAAATCAATCAATGTAATTCATCACATAAAGAGAACCAAAGACAAAAACCATGTGATTATCGCAATAGAGGCAGAAAAGGCCTTTGACAAAATTCAACAACCTTTCATTCTAAAAACTCTCAATAAACTAAGTATTGATGAAATGTATCTCAACATAGTAAGAGCTATTTATGACAAACCCACAGTCAATATCATACTGAATGGGCAAAAACTGGAAGCATTCCCTTTGAAAACCGGCATAAGACAAGGATGCCCTCTCACCACTCCTCATCAACACAGTATTGGTTCTGGCCAGGCCAATCAGGCAAGAGAGAGAAATAAAGGTATTCAAATAGGTAAAGAGGAAGTCAAATTGTCTCTATCTGCAGACAACATGACTGTAGACTTAAAGGACCCCATCGTCTCAGCTCAAAATAAGCAACTTCAGCAAAGTCTCAGGATACAAAATCAATGTGCAAAAATCACAAGCATTCCTATACACCAATAACAGACAGCCAAATCATGAGTGAAATCCCATTCACAATTGCTGCAAAGAGAGTAAAATACCTAGAAATACAACTTACAAGGGAGTTGAAGGACCTCTTCAAGGAGAGCTCCAAACCACTGCTCAAGGAAATAAGAGAGGACACAAACAAATGGAAAAACATCCCATGCTCACAGTTAGGAAGAATCAATATTGTGAAAATGACCATACTGCCCAAAGTAATCTATAGATTCAATGCTATCCCCATCAAACTACCATTGACTTTCTTCACAGAATTGGAAAAACTACCTTAAATTTCACATGGAACCAAAAAAGAGCCCATGTAGCCAAGGCAATCTTAAGCAAAAAGAACAGAGCTGGAGGCACCACGCTACCTGACTTCAAACTATACTGCAAGGCTACAGTAATCAAAACAGCACGGTACTGGTACCAAAACAGATATATAGACCAATGGAACAGAACAGAGGCCTCAGAAATAATACCACACAGCTACAACCATTTGATCTTTCACAAACCTGACAAAAATAAGCAATAGGGAAAGGATTCCCTATTTAATAAATGGTGTTGGGAAAACTGGCTAGCCATATGCAGAAAGCTGAAGCTGGATCCCTTCCTTACACCTTATACAAAAATTAACTCCAGATGGATTAAAGGTTTAAACGTAAGACCTAACACCATAAAAAACCTAGAAGAAACCTAGGCAATACCATTCAGGACATAAGCATGGGTAAAGACCATGACTAAAACACCAAAAGAAATGGCAACAAAAGCCAAAATAGATGAATGGAATCCAATTAAACTAAAGAGATTCTGCACAGCAAAAGAAACTATCATCAGATTTAACAGGCAACTTACAGAATGGGAGAAAACTTTTGCAGTTTATGCATCTGACAAAGGGGTTAATATCCAGAATCTACAAAGACCTTAAATTTTTAGGGGAAAAAAAAAACATCAAAAAGTGGGCAAAGGATATGAATAGACACTTCTCAAAAGACATTTATGTAGTCACCAAATATATGAAAAAAAGTTCATCATCACTGATCATTAGAGAAATGCAAATCAAAAGCACATTGAGATACCATCTCATGCCACTTAGAATGGTGATCATTAAAAAATCAGGAGACAACAGATACTGGAGAGGATGTGGAGAAATAGGAACACTTTTACACTGTTGATGGGAGTGCAAGTTAGTTCAACCATTGTGGAAGACAGTGTGTGATTTCTCAAGGATCTAGAAACAGAAATACCATTTGATCCAGCAATCCCATTACTGGATATATACACAAAGAATTTAAATCATTCTATTATAAAGACACATGCACACATGTTTATTGCAGCTGTGTTCACAATAGCAAAGACTTGGAGCCAACCCAAATGCCCATAAATGATAGACTGGACAAAGAAAATGTGGCATGTATACACCATAGAATACTATGCAGCCATAAAAAAGGATGAGTTGATGTCTTTGCACAGACATGGATGAAACTGGAAACTATCATTCTCAGCAAATTAACAGAAGAACAGAAAACCAAACACCACATGTTCTCGCTCATAAATGGAAGTTGAACAATAAGAACACATGGACACAGGGAAGGGAACATCACACACGGGGCCTGTCGGCGGTGGGGAGGCTAGGGGAGGGATAGCATTAGGAGAATTACCTAACGTACATGACGCGGTGATGAATGCAGCCAACCACCATGGCATATGTATACCTATGTAACAAAGTAACAAACCTGCATGCTCTGCACATGTACCCCAGAACTTAAAGTACAATTTAAAAAAACGAAAACAGAAAACCCACTAGAAGGTTCTTACAGGTAGCAGTGGTGCTCACCTTGGTTCCCAGAAAACAGAAGTCATTCAAAGATATCAGATGAATGGGTAAAAGAGGGGTTAAACAACAAAGCGTTTTTTTTTTTTTTTTTTTTTGACTTGGAGAAACATTCAATGGCCCTTTATTCACCCATGCTCCTTGGAGTGCTGACGCTGCAGCTCTGTGATGCCCCTCCCTGCTCCCATCCCAAGGCCCCATGTCCTATCTGCTCCTGCATCTGCAGGCCCTTGCCCAGGGGTCCTGGGAGTGAACGTTTGCCCCAAGTGTCCCCAGGGCAAGAGGCTGAGACCTGCCAGTGCACCGCACAGCATGACAAGCCCGGCATCCAGGGCACCCGTGTCCTGCCTTGGGCTGCATCTGGGTTCATTCTGCACGCCCGTGAAGCACTGGGGTTCTCCCAGTGAGCCCCAAGGGGCAGTGCTGGTGCAGCCTGTGGCAGAAGCAGAGGAGGAAGCACATGGGGTCCTGGGTAGGCGCACTGGGCGGCAGAAAAGAGAATGTGCCTAGTTACACTGGGACTGCTGCCTGGAAGTGGGACCCATCCCAGGAGCCGAGTGCCCGACCCCCGAGCCCCCTGCACTGTGGCACAGAGAGAAATGCCAGCAGGCCGCTCTCACCGTGGACCAGTCCCCGGTTCTCCACTCGTAGCAGCCTGAGTAGTCCTCGCAGGCCTCCTCGGCTCTGGGCCTCGTGGATGCGTCGCACTTCCCTTGTGAGTTGGTGCACGTCACGGTCCGCTTCCGCGCCCCTTTACCACAGTTGGCGGAACACTGCAAGACACAATTGGAATACTTAACACAGTTCCAATTCGACTCTGGACTCCGTCCCACCTGCCAGACGCAGCGTGGGGACGATGCAGAGATGAAACGCACGCTTCTGTCCTCACAGAGCTCACGGTCTGCAGGGTCTCAGGCACCCAGTCCTAGCTGGGGCCCCGGCCCAGTGGCCAGTGTGGGGAAAGGACACAGGAATCAGGAGTGGGAAGAACTGGGGTGCACATAAGTCACATGAGGGGAGTGGAATTCACTGGCCACTTGTCCGGTCCAAAAGCTCAATGCCATACATGAGCTCAGAGGGCAGGTGTGTGTGATGGCACCATGAGTGAGGCAGGGGCCGGGGGCCAGCCGGAGCAAGGTGAGGGCCTGAAGCTGAGTCCCAGGCCCCAGATCTCCCCAGCCGGCCTCCAGGCACACGTGCTCTGCTTGGGCCAGCCTGGGACAAAGAAAGACCTCGATCCAGCGGGGAGGAGGAGGAGGCAGACGGAAGGAAAAGCCACCGGTGACATTCTCGTGAGGCAGGTGGCAAGCCTTCGCAGAGAGCTCCAGTGAATGTTTCAACACAGACACCAAGAACGGTGACAGAGGCATGCCCCCTGTGGTAGTTTATATGCATGCAGGAGACCTGGGAACAGGCAGTGGGGAAGGGGACCTGGGGGTGATGAACAATGTGCATGCTCTCCAGAGTTCAGGATTCCCAGCAGCAAGGAGTGAAGAGACAGAGGCCCGGCACGGTGTTAACACAGCGGATGGGTGCTCTGGGCTGCATCTGGAACCTGCTCCTGATACACCCGCCACGGAACTTGGGGAGGGACCGACCCTGGGCTGGCAGGATTACTTAGCACCTCCAAAAACAAAGCAGAAGGAAGCCCAGGCAGAGCCAACCCAGAGCCTCAGGAGGATGAAACTCACAAAGAAGTTGGCCTGGGGAGCCCCGTTCCTGCCCAGACTAAACACGTAACTTGGAGAGATGGTATGCGCAAGGCTGGATTCTGCGAAGGCGGTTTCATACTTGCTATGGCAGCCGACAGCACTGACTGTCTTCAGTTATAACAAGCTCAGCTTTAGAAAGTTCTAGGCCAAATGCAGTACTTTACACCCATAATCCCAGCACTTTGGGAGGCTATAGTGGGAGGATCACTTCAGGCCAGGAGTTCAAGGCCAGCCTGGGCAACATAGGGACCCCTGTCTCTTAAAAAACAAATCCCAATGTGTCCACTGGAAAAAAGATACATAAAGGACAAATGTTATTCTTGATATTTGTTATTAACATTTATCCCAACATATGACCTAACTTTCTCTTTCTTGTGAATTCAATTCAGCTCCTTGTCTAAAGGTCCCATGGGTTTTCTTCCAAGGAAAATTTACACCGGTTTGAAATGCACATGCTTCAGAACCGGCTGCAATGTCCCCTGCAGGGAGAGGGGAGAGCAGCTGTGTGTGGAGTGTGGAGCTGGTTTAAAGGGTCCTCGGATGCCAGGGGTCAGTCCATGGTGGGCTTTAAATGCAGGATGTCCTGGGCAGGAGCCCCGGGTCACTGCACTGGAGGGCCACCCCTTGCTTCTCTGTGTGGCAAGGTTTCCTGGCCATTTCTGCAACCCCGCCCTCTCTGTCGGCTTGTGGGCTAGCCCTGGCACCAGCGTCCACACAATTTGCTCCTCCAGCCAGGACCCATGCGCCGCTTCTGCCCAAGTTCATTCTTGCCAGGTCTCTACTCTGAATTCCGCGCCTCTTCCCCTTGAAATTCAAGCTCTGAATATCCAGTCTATTTCTTTTTGAGACGGAGTCTTGCTCTGTCACCCAGGCTGGAGTGCAGTGGCGTGATCTCAGCTCACTGCAACTTCTACCTCCTGGGCTCAAGTGACTCTTCTGCCTCAGCCCCCTGAGCAGCTGGGATGACAGGCATGCACCACCATGCCCGGCTACGTTTTGTATTTTTAGTAGAGATGGGGTTTCACAAAGTTGACCAGGCTGGTCTCAAACTCCTGACCTCGTGATCTGCCCACCTCGGCCTCCCAAAGTGGTGGGACTACAGGTGTGAGCCACGGCGCCTGGCCCAGCCTATTTCTTAACGAAACCCCGGCCCTTAGCTAAACTCTGACCAGCAGCCCATTCTCTTGAAGGCCTTGTCTGTGTGGTACTGCAGGCTGCTGATGTCGGCTCCCTCTCAAGGGGCCGAGGAGGGTGCCCTTCAGCTTCGCCCTTTGCTTCCCAGCAGGGGCAGGGCCTGCAAGCTGAAGACAGGAGGAACTCACTACCTTTTCACTACCTTTTCCTTCCCTCTGTACATTACAACCTCCTTCTAATAAAGTCAGGAAGAAGCTGGGGAGGAGGTAGTGAGAGCAATCAACATAGCTGGCTGGATGAAAGCGACCACGTCAATAAAAACTCCCCCTCGAGAAGCTGAGACCCATTTGCTTCCAGCGGAAGAAAGACTCGCGTTGGGGCTTCGGCACCTGGAGTGGCAGAAGTTCCAGCTTCCTGAGCTTCCCGTGGGGAATGATTTGATTCCAAGTTAAATGTTTAGAAGGAGGCATTCTGTTGAAGCCTGGGCTAAGCCAGAGTTAGGCTGACTGGTGTGGTGTTCGTTCAGGATTAGGATTACGTGTGCACACAGATACAGACATAGAGAAGTTTCTTTAAATCCTGCCCCCATCTTCTCTCACTTTCCAAATGTGGAGATCTTCGGTGCTGTAATGATAACTGATGACATCAGGCTTGGTGGGGAGGCGGGGTTTTTTTCCCCCCGATAAAAACAATCTGAGTGGATTTTTTTTTTTTTCCCAGAGACTGAGTTTTGTTCCTGTTGCCCAGGCTGGAGTGCAGTGGTGCAATCTCAGCTCACTGCAACCTCTGCCTCCCAGGTTCAAGTGCTCTCTTGCTGCAGCCTCCCAGGCAGCTGGGTTTACAGGCATGCGCCACTGCGCCCGGCTAATTTTTTGCATTTAATAGACACAGGGTTTCACCACTGAGTGAAAAATTTATGGCTTTGATCTGATCAAAGCACAATTATTTAGATCAAGAGCAAGGCAATTAAAACCTAGGCTCACCTAGGGTACTGGAAAGGGGCGGGGACTGAATACCTGCCTGGACCCTTCCAGCAAGGGGCCAAAAAGCAGTCCCTTGAATGTTAAAGCTGATGAACATAAGCATATATAAAGAAAAAAAAAATCAACAAAAGCTCAACTTCTCTTTTCCTAAAATACCATAAAGCATAGGATAAAGATTCTGATCTATAAAGGAAGACACGCCAAGATCTGTCTGAAAACTAACCTCCGTTTTGGAGCAGCCAATGGCAGACTTTTCGTTCATTAAAAATGGGCTGAATACTTTTTTATTCAAAATAATTCCAACTGTTTGGCAATAGTGGGAACTTTAAAGATATTTTCCACACTAAAGAGTGTCTTGGATGAGCCTCTCCGAGTTTCCTAGACTACGCTGGTGGAAGACCTGAGGGAAACTTGCCCTTTATTCAGCTATTTTTTTTGTAGTTTTATAGTCAAACAGTCAAAATCATTAATGCAAAGTCCTGAAGGATGACATCACCAAAGATAAAATCGTATTCCCAGGACCAACCTTCAAAGTGAAGACTTAGGCTTAATCCACTTCTTTCCAAAACGTTTTATGGCATGAGATTTGCACACTAAAAGCTGTCCCTCCTGGCATCTGACTCTTGCAGTCTACAAAGACTGCTGGGGGATTAAAGGAAAACCTTTGAAACCACCTTCCCAGCCTGAGCGCACCACCGTTAAATATACCCAAAGGGGAATTAAAAAGTCGGTCAGTATCTGTCTGTCCTATCTTGATGTGGGAATTTTCATAGGAAATGGGATGGAACAGTCCTTCACTGTGGTGTCAACATATACATCATCAAAGACATGGTATCTATGTTTTTGTAGCCACGTTGTTATCTGAGATGAAATTTTTTTTTTTAAGAGGGAGTCTTGCTCTGTCGCCCAGGCTGGAGTGCAATGGCGCAATCTCGGCTCACTGCAACCTTCGCCTCCTGGGTTCAAGCAATTCTCCTGCCTCAGCTTCCTGAGTAGCTGGGACTACAGCTGCACGCCATCATGCCCAGCTGATTTTTCTATTTTTAGTAGAGACTGGGTTTCACCATGTTGGTCAGGCTGGTCTCGAACTCCTGACCTGTGATCTGCCCGCTTCGGCCACCCTAAGTGCCGAGATTACAGGCGTGAGCCACTACGCTGTCCTGAAATGGATATTAAGAACATGTGAGCTAGAACACATCTTTGAGCTGACCTGGGGGTGAGCGAGGGCTAGGAGGCACCAGAATGTCACCAATACCATGGAACCGTGCTGGAGTCCCTGTGGCTGAGTCTTGGCGGCAAGCCCAGGCACCCACCTGTGACCACTCAGACGCCTCCCAGATGGACAGGCAGTCCTGGCCTTCGCAGCTCTGCACTGGCGCTGGCCGGGGGCCTGGGCAGTAGAGGGGCCGCGTGGCGACGTGTGTGCCGTTCTGCAGCTGGTACACGCAGGTCACCTCTCGGTGCTGGAAGCCTTTCTCACAGGTCGCTGAGCAGGAGCTCCATGGGCCTGCCACCCACCTGCCAGACAGGAGGAAAGACGGAGAGAGAACGAGCCAGGTGAGAGGCCAGCCTCTTCGGAGGGCCTTCCGGCTGGATCCTGAAATTGCAACCTTGTGGTGGGCAATCTATAAACACTTCTGGGGATTCATGGAAAACCTTTAGATTGCAAGAGGGAGGCAGACCCAGGAGGCTTTTCAGTCAACCTTGGACAAAACTCAGAGTAACGGCACAGAGGGAGCGGCTTGAGCGGTCCTCTGGTTGGATGGGCTCCTTGGCACAGACATATTTCTGCAACTAACACCCCTACGGCAGACGGGGTTATGTGGTCACGGCCTCCCTGCAGGGGATTACATATCCACCTGTTGTCACGGGACCTGCTTCTTTCGACGGGGTGTGAGTGAACAGGATGCTGGCCGCGTCCCGGCAGAAGCTCTGAACGTGGTTATGCGGTTTGGGTCCGACTCTGTTTCCTACTCTCTGCTGGGAGGAGTCCCAGCACCGGGAAAGCCCGTACCGCCTGCACTGCTGTCAGCGACCGAGAAGTCGGAGTTGTTTGTCGCTGCAGCAACAGGGGACTGACGCGGCCCTTGACAAAAGAACCCCCATCCCACACCGGCCCCAGCTTGATTAACCAGAAGCAGGCACCCTCTGCTCTCCAGAGCTTAGGCGGCTGTGACGCTTTACAGTGGCAGGTTGTGGGCCGTGGGAAGACGGAGGCTGTTGAGGTTGGTGTCTGACAGCGTTCTAAAACTCTGGCTCAGGCTGGGCGCAGTGGCTCACACCTGTAATCCCAGCATTTTGGGAGGCCGGGGTGGGCAGATCACAAGGTCAGGAGTTTGAAACCAGCCTGGTCAACATGGTGAAACCCTGTCTCTACTAAAAATACA